AACAGGAAAACTATTGCAAAATTTTTTTTTTTTTTTTTTTTTTTTTTTTTTTTTTTTTTTTTTTTTTTTTTTAGGTATATATTTATGAAATTGATAGTCAATGACACACTTCGGCATGGTAATTTAACTATCATGTTGCTTGTACATGTCATTTGGCTATTTTTTAGTCTTGTCAGAAATCCATCTGAAGACCGGGTAAATGTTCTTCTACGTTCCTTACTTGTTTCATCCTCAGGAGTAGATGTTTCTTGCTTGACTGGACCGTACTTATTAATGAAGGACCCGAAGAGCTAATAAATCAGTGAATGGATCCAAAATGCCCTTCAGATCTTTATTATCTTGTTTCTTCACAGCTACATGTATTGGACAGACTGGGGGGAGAAGCCTAAGATCGAACGTGCCAACCTGGATGGAAGCGATCGCCTGGTTCTGCTCAACTCCTCACTAGGATGGCCCAACGGGCTGGCCCTCGACTACGCGCCAGGAAAGCTTTACTGGGGGGACGCCAAGACTGACAGGATCGAGGTATCGTGAGGAATGATGCATGTTCTCAGCCTCTGGCGGGGCTGAACCCCGGAATGTCTGTCTGTCTTGTTTTGCACCCCTCCCAAATCACCCAGATGCTGAAAGCTCACCTCTTCATCTTCATTCTGCTACCCTCGCCTTCGGATGCCAGGCTATGGGGGTCATGTTGTAATTCCCTGTGTCTTGGTTCTGCTTAACACACTCTAATTGTGACATGTACATGACACACGTTACGGATTTTGATTTTACCCAAGGCATGATGGTTTTTTGACATAGACCGGTATCCCTCAAAACATCAAATACAGGTATTTTTTTAGTAACTGCTTGTGGTAAATTCTAAGCTTTTCAGAATGTCTGTATCTGGTTTTGGTGACACCATTTTAATAGCATAGTAATAGGGGAGGCTGTTTGGAATCCAGATCTCGCGCCTTCCTGTTGTCTAACGCAGCGTCTCTCAACCTGGTCCTTGGAGACCACCCGAGGGTCTATGTCCATGTTCCGGGAGCTGGAAGGGAGCAAAACATAGACCGTCTGGGGGTTCCTGAGGACCAGGTTGAGAAACGCTGGTCTAACACCATGTAGGTAATTTTACTACCATGCTTTTGCTTAAATCCTCCTCGTTTTCTTGTTCATCTGGCCTCTTTGTTTTAGCCGATCTCTGGACTAGTCACTTCTCTCCGTCGACAAAGGGGCCACAGTTTCTTGTAGTGGTGCTGCATTCTCCTGGAGTTCTGGATGCTGTGTTACTGGTCTTAATGGATTCCAGTATAGTGGGACACCAAGGATGTCATGTCATGAACAATTAAGGATATTGTGTCAGACACCCAATCAAGCAAAGTTGTGACCCGTTCTACTATAAACATCAGCTATGAAAGCAAAGGCCTCTTTTAGTTCTTGCCTTTTTATGTTTTTTTTGTAGTTATAATGTGAAATAATTCACATATCACCAGTATTCTCTGAAAATGGGTCAGAAATATAATGCTTGTTCAGTGGAACTTAACAGAATCCGTTTAAGATTGTGTTTTATTTTTCCTCAGTTGCATTAAGAAGGTGTTGCCTAGCTCAGAGCTGCTGTTACGCGATCAGACGCAGAAAGCGAAACTCAGAAAAGGGCAGTTCTGTGGAGCTCAAACCAACTGAAGCGAGATTCCTTTTATTTATTTTTTCCCCCCTCGCTGCTCTGTGGGGGAGGTGCTTGTGCTGAAGGGGCCGGCTCACGCTGCCCATTCGTCATGGTGTGTGGATTGACGCGCACGAGCTCTCCTGCTGGGGGAGCGGCAGCTCCTCTCAACACATGGGGGCCTTTCCATCTGCACACACGGTCACAGCACAATGGGGCTGCTTCCATGTCTCTGAAGCTGCTTGTCGGGGCCTCGGAGCAGCGTGGAGCTACCGTCTCGTCTCACCCCTGGTCCTCCCTGAACACCTAACCTACCGGGCGGCAAACATAGGTGGCCGCCTCCGCAACGCACACAGGCACTAGTGTTTGGCTTTTCGGCGAAATCCTGTAATAAAAACAGAAACTTGCTTTTTTAATAGTCATCTGTGAAGATTCATCTTTGTTTAAGGAAGGTCATAATAATGCTTAGAAAGCCAGTCAACAACTGGGACTTTCCATCCCTGTAGTTAATCTGGTTCTACGTTTTCAGCGAGATCCTCAGAGGACTTTTCCTGGGGAAGATGGAAATGTCAGAGATGTCTGTCACAGGGCGCCACGCAGCTGCTCCCTCTTCAGTATGTTTTTATTGTCTTGGTAAAGGTGGAGGCTTGATAAGCGTGGAATTCTGGGAGTATTTATTAGTCCGAATGTCAGAACTTACTCTGGACTGCTCCTTTTTAAGGCCCTGCTTCCTATTTCAAAATCTTTCCAAGTGGTCATGTTAAATGGACGAGCAAGTCATCATAGTAATGGAATAAAGCCCTTTCCCCAGTTTTCCATCTGTGTAAACACCTGCGAGAGTTCCTTGATTTAGCATGGGAGGGTAGCCTGGGCGCTTTGAAGCCTTGGGGCAGCTACTTTGTATAAGCAATAAACGATTGGGGGAGGGAGGGGGGGGGGCAGCGGGTAGGGGAGTGTTGCTTTTCATGCTGCAGTTGACCAATGGCATGACAGAGAGAGAGACCCTGTCGGCTTTTTGAAGGTGACCTCCATGCACAATGAAGACACAAAAGGCCCAGGCCGGGCCTTGAAGCAGCCACCTTTGGCAGATGTGGGGTGCAGGGGCCGTGCTGGCCTGTGTGGCCCCAAGCCGCCCCTAAGCGTGCTCTCGCCTGCAGCTCCTCTGTGCCAGGCTCCTTCAGACTCACGTAATGGCAGTGGGCCTTTCTGCCTTTCCCACATAAGCCCACTTCGGGCTGAAAGGAGGAACCCGCTTGAAGTGCTAATGGACCGAAATCCCAGCGCTTTAAAGTCATTCGTAATTTATCATTAAAGATTCCACATAATGAAGCTTTTTGTTTCGCTGCTCTCTTCAGCTTTCTATTTTTTTTTAAATGGCTATTCATGGTCCAGGGTCCTTTTTCGGCAAAGAAGGGGCACATTTACATGTTATTGTTTACCTTTTTCTGGACTTGGGCCTTTCTCAAGATGAGACCAACATTAAGTCTTGAATGAAAGGTTTTGAAAGTAGCTTCTGGCTTTGGAATGTGCCCGTTCACTGCCTCAATGGTTATAAATAGAAGTGTGGAGGCTTTGTACCTCTCCTCTCGGCCTCTTCCCGTTCCATTGCTTTGTTTTTTTTTATCCTCTAATATGAGTTTTCTGCAGTGATGGGTATTTTATGTTTTCTTTACTTGCTGCAAGATTAGATACCTCTGGGACAAATTAGATTTCCACTGTATTTGAAGTAGTTTGCAGTGTCTGCTAATACTCCTCTGTTGTTCACTTTGCTCACTGCAGTGCTTTGAAGCTCTCTGTCTATTGGGCTGTCTGACTGGGAGAAAAACTCATTGTTGTAGTCAAAATGGGGAGCTGGGGACAAGGGGCTGCATTATTTCACATGTGCTGCTGAATGCTGGGTTTTGAACCTTATCCCAGAACTACCTCCTCTGATGTTTGGTTATGTACTCCTGCAATTGGGCTGATTATTAATAGCATTTTGATTAGAAGTCTACCCCCCCCCACACCCCCTTCCCTTTTAACTGTATGGGATTCAGGCCTGTTTATTCATGTATGGTTCTTCAGCTTTAAGTTCTTGTGTGTTTATGTCAAATCTTTAGTTGTGGTATTTCCTGTAAACAGATCCAAAAAAAATAAGATACCACTGACCCCCCCACCCCACCCAACACACACACACACACACACACACCTCTCACTCCTCCAAAAATAACTGCTGCAGTGCCTCATTGTTTAGCTGGATTTAGTTTAAATACCGGTCTTCTGCCCGACAGAACTGGCTCTGTAACCTTATACATTTCCCCTTGCTTCAGGCTATGGAAATCCTTGCAGTTATTAAAAACACTAAGGTCACTTAACATAGTGCATTTATGCCAGTGGTGTTCACCAAGCCTCTGTGGCTGATACACCAGCTACCTGCCATTGTTTTTGGTTTCATTTTTGATATTCACTTTTTTCCATTTCGAAGGTATGCTCCTTCACGTAATCCCAGCACCTCTGGAAGAGGCATTCGGGCCTTTCCAAAGACATGGCAGTTAACAAATGAGGTTTGTTTTCCTAAATAAATGTGACGCTGTGTAACATATCACAAAAGGGGGCTTCTGTGAGCCAAAGGAGGGGCCAGGTTACAAAAAACCAGGCCTAGTAATAGCGCAGTCCTGACGGCGAGGCGGCGATTTGCCCGGTAATGCAGCGCGTTTCCCTTGTTGGACTCATTAGCTTTTGCGCTGCGCAGTTAGAAACGGCACCGTGCCAAAGCTTAGAGGGCGCACGGTCCTCTGCAGGTTCTCTGTCATCCATATCTTGAGGACAGAAACACACGCTGTATTTTTGCAGCGTTTTGTTGTTTTTCTTCCTCCCCACGCCGTGTGCCCAGACCGTGTCTGACACTCCAGCCCGAGGATATATTTCATCTGGGGGGGGCGCGGAGTGGCGTTGGGTGTAAAACATGCTGCCGCCATGAGCTGCTTTTGTGACGGCACACGGCGAGGAATAAATGTCATGACAGACCGACCGACCTCTCAATGGCTCGCCTTCATGGGCAGCACAAACAGCTCGGTCCAGGACCCAGCGGTAGGCGGCTCCAGCCTTGCTGGGAAATGTGTGCATGGAAGAGGGAAACAGCTCAATCCTTGGTGACATCGATTCATTTTTTTTCCCTGTGAATTGCAGTCTCTGGAAACCTAGTGTTTAGTACTGTAAGAGTACTTTACCTTATGGGTACAAGAATATCCCCAAGTAGGACTTTAACCCACAACTGTATTTGACCACTTCATTTAACCAGAATGCTTTATATATACTAGTTTGCAGGAAGAAATTTGCTTAAATATTTTTAATGATCAGTGACCATACTTGCATTAATAGTCAGAAAATGAAATGCATATTAGTTTTCACACTTGCCAGCTTGCTAATACTTGCTAATGTTTTTTTTTAAACATTCACAGCTTCTTCAGTTGAAAAACAATAAATATAATGGCAATTACACTTAAAACCACATTTGACCAACATCGTTTGCTGTCGTGGAAGCCCAGAGAACGGAGCTCGGGCAAACCTCAGTAGCGTCCCCGTTTGTGGGGCTGTCCCCTTGGATTCCTGGGCGAGACCCATCTGCCTGTCACGGACAGGGGATGGCTCCTGCGTTTGGCTGCCCTGCCTAAGCCTGCCTGCGCTGCCTGTTCTTTCCTCCCTTTATGGCAGCTCAGCGTCCGCTCACAATGCCTTCCATATGTGCGTAAGGCTGCATCCAGTAGGAATTTACAAGCAACAGCATGCCGTTTAAATAAGAGCTGTAAGAAACCTTTCCCAGTCCAGCACGTTCTGCTGAACCCTTGAAGGACCCTCCCGTGCAGCGCACCAGGAGGTTTATCGCGTGTGAAGACTTCAT